CTATCATAAGTCCACAAGATGGCAGTGTCTTCTTAGGGATCCTAAGTAGAGTTCTCAAGTGGGAGAGAGGAAGGGAGGGCAGGAAGTAGAGGGAGGGGTGGAGAAAGGGCTGGAGGAAAGGCTTGGTGATGCAGAGGTGGTGAAGAGAGTCCCTTTTCTCATTGCTAGCAAAGTAGCTTTTCATGTTTCCTGAAGCAGGAGAGGTGGAAACTTTTGAATGTGACCATACGAGTTTAGAGTTGAGAATCTGAATCCTAAGTGAAGAGGGAGGAGAGATGAAATCCTTGAGTGTTTCACTAGTGGTCCTGTGGCTTCAATTAAGCTGTAAGTTTGGGAATTCCTTTTTTTTAATTTCTTTTTTTAAATTATTATTATTATTTTTTTTATTAATTACACTTTATTCATTTTGTATCCCCCCATAAGCCCCTCCCTCCTCCCCTCCCGTCCCACCCTTTCCCCCCCTTTCTGCATGCATGCCCCTCCCCAAATCCACTGATAGGGGAGGTCCTCCTCTCCTTCTTTCTGATCTTAGTCTATCAGTTCTCATCAGAAGTGGCTGCATTGTCAGGGTTCTAGGTTATCTCCACGGATAGTCCTTCGTTGGGGAATTTCTTTGGGATCCAGGTGTGGTATATAAAGTTGTTGCTGCTCCAGGCTAATGGTAGAAAACACATATGTTTTTAATCTATGGTTAGGGGTGGGAGGGCTATTGAAAAAGCATTCTGCTGTGTTAGTATCCATATGCATCCAGGTCCGTTTGTCTGACCTTTGTCCTTCTGCACAGGGGTGAGCAGCCAGCAGAAGGTGGAGCAGATCCCAGAATCCCTCAATGTCCCAGAGAGAGCCATGGCTTCTCTCAACTGCAGTTTCAGTGATCGTAATTCTCTGTACTTCTGGTGGTACAGACAGCATTCTGGGAAAGGCCTCGAGGCGCTGATGTCCATCTTCTCCAACGGTGACAAGGAAGAAGGCAGATTCACAGCTCACCTCAATAAAGCCAGCCTGCATGTTTCCCTGCACATCAGAGACTCCCAGCCCAGTGACTCTGCTGTCTACCTCTGTGCAGTGAGCACACGGTGCTCCCCAGGCACCTGCAGCCTGCACACAAACATACTGGGCCACAAAATGCCTTATAGAGAGCTCAGACCCCACAGTGGAGAAATTCTGTTTCTATTCTGTATGCAATGGGAATTAATAGCAAGAGCAGCAAGGGCTTGGGATTGACTGGGAAGGTATTTTCACATTTTGAAAAGAAGTAGTCCTGACGAGAAAGGCAAACTATTGGTTCATTTGAAACATTTTCCACTTTTCTCTTCTCACATGCTGATGGTTAGGGAACAATGTTGGAAACAAATATATGGCCATGACACTCACCACATGCTGTGCTATGAAGAACCATCACCACTACAACACTCTAGCTTCCTTGATTTTAAGAGCTGTAAATAAAACCTTCCTGTTTTTTAGTTTTTAAAAACAGCCTAGAAAGTCACAGGTTTCTGTATATCAGGCTCATACATATTTGCTTCTGGTTGTCTCTTCTCCCATCTCATCTTCTCTGCCAGCTCCCGGGTCCCCATTCCCACTCAGTCCTTGCTCCCAATATCCCTGCTTCTACTTCCACATCATGGGTTCTGTTACCTCCCACTCATCTGTCTTAATGCTTCAATTTCTCCTCTCATTGGCTGCTTTCTAGTTGTGTGATGTCTACACACACTCATATGCATATGAATACATAAAAATTAGAAGTGAGGATTTGCATGTATTTGTCTCTCCAAGTCTGAATAACTCACTGTAGTATTTTTCAGTTGTGTCTATTTTTATACCAATTCCATAGTTTTATATTTCTGAGTAATACTCATCTGTCTATGTCTCTGTCTATCTATTTCTGTCTATATCTATCTATTATTTATCTCTATGTATCTATTTACCAACTATCTATATATCTATAGTTGTATCTATCTATCTATCTATCTATCTATCTATCTATCTATCTATTAGATAGGTATACATCTACAGCAAGTTCTTATTCATTGTTTTCTTCATAACACATAGAATGCCTTCATTCACAAAGAATTATAAACAGAGCAGCAATAAACAGGATTGAGTGTGTATTTTTGTAGTAAGAGATAGAGTATTTCAAATATATAACAAGAAATTACAGAGTTAGGCCACATAACACAACCTATTATAGGTTTATGAGGCCATTTTATGCTTATTATCACAGGTGTCACATCAGTGTATGCTTCCTGCAACAGTGAATGAAATCTCCCTATTTCTCAACATCCACACCAGGATTGGTTGCCATTAGATTTCTTGAGGATAGTTGTTCTGAATGAGATGTGACGAAGTCTTAAATCAGTTTAACTTAATTTTAGTGATGACTAAGGATGTTCATTGCTTTATTTATTGGCCATTTGCATTTTTTCTTTTGATAATTCTCTGTGCCCAAACCCATTTTTTTGATTGATTGTTTTTATTGTTTAGGTTTTTTTGTATGTGTGGTTTTATCTTCTGTCAGATGAGTAGCTGGCAAGATTTTCTCTCATTTGTAGTTTGTCTCTTAGATTTGTTAACTGTCTCATTCCCTGCCTTCGTGTATTTACTTTCATTAATTCATTTAGCTTTGGATAAGATTTTGTTGTGGAGCCTATGCCGGCCTAAAACTCTTGATCCTTCTGTTTCACCCCAAGATATGGGATTACAGGCTTGTGTCACCATAAGTGCCTCTATTTATTGCTATTTAAAATGCTGAAAATGTCCCCTCACTTGGTATATTCACGTTGGTGCTCACTGAAGATTAACCACAAGTCAGTGCAGTAGCTCTGGATTTTATCATTCATGGATACATGAAAATGTTATGTAACAGATCTCCCTGGGAGTGAGTAATGTACTTCCTTTATCTTAGTCTCTCAAGACACTGTTTATACAGTCTATGGGTCCAGGAAACCCTGGATAGCAGGGACTGAATATTTGGTTAGGTGTGTTCACAGACACCCTTACTAAAAGGATGCAACAGAATCAGATTTTTCTATACATTCTCAGTGTTTAGAAGTGGAGACTGAACAAATATTTCCAGATCATGGAAGAATAATGTGAAACACTCCAAAGCATGTATTTAAAAGACATTATATTTTACCATGATAGGTAGATATAAACAGCGATATAGTAGATCTTTTTCATCATTATTATTATTATTATTTACTTTATGTGCATTGGCCCTTTTCCTGCAAGGATATCTGTGTGAGGATGTCAGGTCCCTGGAACTAAGGTTACAAATAGATGTGAGCTGCCATGTAGGTGCTGGAAATTGAACACAGATCATATGGAAGAGCAGCCAGTGCACTTAACTGAATCATGTATCTCTCCAGCACCATGGGATAATCATTCTTAAATAAAATATGGCCGCTGGTGAGTTTCACATGCTGCAGTCTATGTCCCATAATGGACATATGGGTAACACACTAACTGGACAAAGTAGGTTATAGGGAAAGAAAGGACATGAATCTGGAGAGGAGTTTGTTAGGGAGAAAAAAAAATATATATATAATATATTAGAATATAATATGTTAGAATATAATAAATAAAGACATATGATATAATAATATAATATAATATAATATAATATAATATAATATAATATAATAT